AGATTCTGGAAATATTGTAATTTTACCCACACAGACTAACTTCCATTATAACCATCAGGTCTGGAAGCCTTTGTGAGACAACAGGTCTGGATGGGTTTCCCCCAGATGTGCCTGCATCCGGGCCCTTGCTCCTCACCGTCCTGTTATCACCTCTCTACCTGTCGGTCTCCCCCTGGGCTGTGAGCTTCAGGTGGGAGGGACCTCTCCTACTCCCTGTGAATCCCCAGGGCCCAGCCCAGTCTTGGCACACTGGATATTTGTGCAATGGATGGATGGATGAATGGGTGGGTGAATGAATGAATGAATGAATGAGGGAGTGAGTGAGTGAATGAATGAATGAATGAATGAAATCACATAATTTAGTGGCTTAGCCAGAACCAGAACCTAGGCCTCCCTCCAGGGCAAGTATTTAAACCCTTGGAGCAGCTCCTGGTCATGGCCTCCCCAAGTCTCTCCAGGGCTGGATTCCTTCAGGAACACACCAGAAACCCCGGGCTAGCAGGGGGCGAGCAGACAGCACTGGGCTCAAGTCCCCTGCTCTGCAGAATGAAGTGTGTGGCCTAGAGCCTCAGTAAGGTGGGGATTTTAACAGCACCTGCTTGAAGATGGATCAGGTACTCTGTGGACAAAACAGCCCTGTGCCTGGCCAAGGTGAGCGCTCAGTACTGGAAGCTGCACATTCTGGCCACCAAGGCTTGTGGGACACACCTGGGCTCCCCTTCTCCCTCATCAGGGTCCCTGCCCCCAGCTCTCTCCGTGCTCCCATCTGGATGTGACTCCTCCTCCTCCTGAGCTCAGTAATGCCTGGGCCATCCCAGGAGCTGCCCCCCCAAAGTGCCCACTGACCCAGAAACCCAGTCACCTTCCTCACAGCCCAGCCCCTTGTCCCCTCCAGGACCCACAGTCACGCCTACACTGCCACATGTCTCACTCCCCACGTGTGCTCACCCCGTGCCCTTTACAGCTTTGCAGACACCCCAAGAGTGGGACTGGGGGACAGTGACTCCACCTTTTCAGCTCATGCACAGTCAGTCTAAAGCATGACAGCTTCTCCCTGGTGTGGGGTACTGGGCCCGATGCCCACCCTTGGTGAAGGGCATGCCCACCATGCCATCTCCTGACTGCCTGGTAGCTTCACCAGATATCAAGGAACATGGTTGATGGAAATCTACAGAGAACTGTTGTAAACATACATTGACATTTGTCCCCTCTGAGGCAGGGCGCTTGCTCCGACAGTGCCAAGGGAATGAATGCCACGGAGTCCCTAACCACTGCCATGCACCTGCTCCTTACCTTACCATGGCACATGTTCTCAGCCGTATGTTTCACCCATGAGGATGCCAGGGCTCCAGGAGATTGAACTGCCCAGTTCACACAGGTGGTAAGTGGTGGGTTGCTTAGGATCCCGGGGCTCCCCACTGCTCCCAGAATCAAGCCCAGACTTCTCAGAGTGAGCACAAGGCTCTCCCTGACCAGCCCGGCCCACCTCGTCTCTTTCATTTGCCCTGAAAACTACCCCCCACACCCATGCCCTCACTCTGAGCTTCGTGCAGTTCCTCCACCCTCCCCATCTTCCCTTGACCACACTTCATTCAACATATACATTGGTAATAAAAAACAAAAAGCAAAGATCCTTGCCCCCATGAGCTTATCTTCTAGTGGGGTGGACAGTCCGTGAACCATAAATATGGGGAATGCATAGTGCATTGGGTGGCAAGAAAAAACTGAAGGGCAGGACAAAGGAGATGGAAATGCCCGTGGAGGGCAGGCTCTGTTGAAAAGGCTGGTCAGCATAAGCTTCATTAAGGAGGTGGGATTCCGGCACAGACTTGGAGGTAGGCAGTGAGCCACGTGGGAAGCACCTTCCAGGCAGAGGTAACAGCCGGGGAGTCCCCAGGAGAGGGCATGTGTCTGGTGTGCTCAGGCGGAGCTGGGGTGGAGAGTGAGGGGGGAGCGTAGGAGGTGAGGTCAAGGAGCAGGCAGAGGGTGTGATCATGGGGGGTCTTCAGGCCTTGGAAGGATGTTGGCTCAGAGGGAAATGGGGAGCCACTGGAGCGTGTGAGTGGAGGAGGGACACGGCCAGACGCCAGGCATTGTGCTGACCGACTGCTGTGTGGAGAAGAGATTGCAGAGGCCATGGGTGGAGCGGAGACAATGACGAGCAGCTGTAGTAATCCAGGCACCAGGTGGCGGTGGCCTAGACCCAGACATCAGCTGAGAAGATGGTGAGAAGTGGTCAGGCCTGAGATTTTTACTCTCTCATTTTTTTAATGTGTACATTTTCCTTAAGTGTTTTATAAATACATGCAGAGTCTAGTTGTATTCTGAAGGTAGTGCTAACAGATTGGATGTGGGATGTGGGATATGAGAAAAAGAGTGTGACACAGGCAGGTTTTTGGTGGTGTGTGGAGGAGGGGAGCAGTGGAGGAGGGCCCCTCGGCTGAGATGGGGAGGGCGGTGGTGGAGGCAGGCATGTCTGTGTGTTAACTAACTTCCATCCCTCTACCGGGAGGCTCTGCGCACCCCACTTGGCCACCCCAGCTGCTCTTTATCTTTCAGCTCTCATATGAACTGTCAAACCCCAAGCATTCCTCTGGGAAGCCTTGTCTGACCCTCCCAGAGGGTGGTCATTGCTCCCCAAGCCGACCCTGATTTCAGTATTTCCCAGGTTGCTTTGTAACCACCTGTTATCCCCTGGTCTGAGAGCAACTTGGAGTCTGATGCATCTTCCCCTGCCTTTAGCACAGGGCCGGGCTTGGAGTAGGCCCTCAATGTCTGTTTGTTGGGGGGATGAAGGATTGCCCTTGCAGGAGTGCAGGCCTTCTCAAAGTCAGCAACATCTCTCTCCAGTCCCACCTCGCTCCTCTCCGAGTCAGGCAGGGACACTGAGCAGGGGGCTTGGATACCCTCACGGGCCCATTTCCTCCATATCACAGATTAGGAGCCAGGGCCCAGGGAGTGGAAGATGGCCTGGACGAGCCCCGTCCATCGTGCTGAGCTGGGCTCTGGATCCTCTTCCTCTTCTGCGGCAGATGGCCAGATACCCCCACAGTTCTGAACTAGTCCCTGCTGCAATCAGGAAGCCCCAGGAAGGGGAGGTGCCTGGCTGAGGCCTGGCCACACTTGCTTCCATATCCACCTTTCTGCAGCCACTTCCCTCACTGATGCCCATCACACCTCAAACTCCCCTTCTGCAGTTACAATTACTACAGCATGGGGCAAATTTAGGACCTGTAGGCCAAGTTACCACTTGACCGTGAGAGCTGAGCCAGGCAGAGCCTAGGATCCCTGGTTCCCAGACCCTTTGCTAGCCACTCCCCTCTGACTTCCCTTTCTATCTTCACATCAGGGAGTACCACTCAATTCAGGTTTTCAGTGCCTGAACTTGAACTAAAAGCTACTAGAGCTCTAACATAATCCCCGGGGTATATGAGACCTAATTCTATTTGTTTTCTTTAGATCTCTGAATGTCGGGGCCTGATGTCTAGCAGGGGCTCAGTAAATGTTTATTGGATGACTAAGTGATCACAGCCCCCCGCGTGCTCTCCATTAGCACGTGAGCATGGCTTTCTCCTCCCCACCCTACTAGGTGAGGAGCAGGGACAATGTCCACAATGTTTCTATGGCCCCCAAGTACAGCACAGCGCTGAGAATCCGGAAGTCTCAACAAATGAAGACCGGTTACATCAGTGAGTAATGCTGCATAACAGACCACACCAAAACGCAGTGACTTAACACAGCAGCCTTTGTTTAAATTAGCTCATGATTCCGCAAGGTGGCAGTTGGCCTGGGCTCAGTCGGATGGTTGTTCGGGTCTCAGCTAAGCTCCTCTGCGTGTCCGTGGTCGGCTTGCTAATCTCTGCTGAGCGCTCTCCCACATCTGAGGTCTGAGCTGGGACGACTGGGCTGATGGGCTCTGCTCCAGGAGGGCTCTCATCCCCCAGCAGGCTAGCCCTGGTTTCTTCTCCTGGTGGAGGCAGGTATCCCGAGAGAGGGGAAGTGCACTAGCCTCTTGAGGCCGAGGCTCAGGAACTGGTGGACTGTCCACATGTGCCACTACATTCTCTCAACCAAAGTAATTCACAAGGCCAGTTCAGAGTTCAGATTCAAGGCGTGGGAAAAATAGACTCTGCCTCTTGATGGGAAAAGCTGAGCGTTACATCATGAAAGGAGCGGCTACAGAGAGGTAGGAAAAACTGGCTATTTTTGCAATCTACTATACAGAGTTGGGCATTATAAAGACCAGAATCCACCCAGGGTAGATCGCTTTAGTATTTATTAGAATTTAAATCTGATATAACCAGGGGCTTCTAAATTTGGATGGAGATTTTTGGATACCTCTGATTCCCTCTCCCAGACCCTCTTTCTCCATTTTTGTATGTCCTCCTAGTCATGACACCCATGGGGCAGTGGTGGGTGCTGATGGTCACATGCTCTGTCTTCTAAGAGGTGGAATGGCTTCAGTCTGCTCCTACCTGAGGGTTTTCAGAGAGCAGCTCGAGCAAATGAGAAACAAAACCCAAGCGGGCCTCCTGGGTCCTTGGTGTGTGTGCCAAGACCTTGTTTTCCACGATCTCTGCTTTCCTTCCAGTAAGATCTGGGTGTGGGCCCAGTTCCCAGGTCAGCCCTGCATCCTGATTTTGGGTGGCAGTGGAGGGAGAATTTAGGGTAGATCCTGGGGATTTCCTGGGATGGGGGTTGGGGACATCTCTTCACCCTGTCACCTTGTTTTGTTGTTTCCTAGCACTTACTACTGCTGGACTGGATCAGTTACTTATGTGTATATTTATGGTCTGTCTCCATCCATAGAAGGCCAGGATCTATCTTTTCCATTGCTGACCTCCAGCCCCCTGATGCTGTGTGTCAGAGGAGTACCCCAGGCCAGATGCTGTGGGCTGAGCTTCAGGAACTGAGTCTGCCGGGGGTGACATGAGCAGACTTCTAGGAAGGTGACACTGGAGCAGATGCTGATGAGGCAGGCGACCGGTGTCCCACTAGCACTGCAGTTTACGCCTGCCACAACGGGGGCCGACTGGAAAACTGCTTGAAGTTTTTCTCATAGGTGGGCAAGCTGTCTTTGAACCAGTACACAGACTGCTTGTCACACTCGCAGGCCCTTAGCCCACAGAGGCAGCCAACCCCCAGACCAGGGGAACATTCACCTGCAGAGAGACGGAGAGTCACTGGAGGCTCCCAGCTCACCCACAGGGTGTGGAGAAAATGAGGAGCTCACTGCATGGGGTCAAAGGTTGAAACAGAAAGAAAAGAAAAGGGGAGCCCTTTTCCTTCATCCCAAGCCCTTCCCTGATCACACCTGGACAGGCCATAAGTACTGGAGTGAGGAGAAGCTGGAAGAAACAGGAGGGGGAGTGTGGGCTGCCTGGCAGGGTGTGTGAGTTAGTGCACCTGGGCAGCGCATGGCCAGGCCCGAGGAACCCGCTTTCCCAGATCTCATCTCTCACAGCTGGACGTCTCACTTGTACATCTCAGGCATCTCTAACTTAGGATGTTCAAAAGGGAACTCTTGATGGAAGTGCCGCTCCATGCATCAGCTGAACAGCACCCACACTCTTGTCTCAGTAAATAGCACCATCTCCTCTGGAGCCAGAAAGCTAGCAGCCAGCCTTGCTTCCTCCCCTCCCTTCACTTTTCACATCCAGTCTACCAGATTGCTCCACCAGTTTCTCTCTTCAAAGTGCTCCCTTCTCTGCCCTCTCCTCTCCACCTTCTTGGCCACTTCCCCAAGCCCCGTCACCACCAGCTCCTCCTTCCTGATGGGAGGAAATAAGCAGGGACCTTCTTAAAATGTAACCTGTATTAGGTTCACTCTCCTGCTTTACTACTATTTGGGGAAGACTTTCGAATATCTCAAGTCCTTGTCATGGGTGCCTAAGTGCACATGATCCGGCCTTTGCCAACCCCTCCATCCTCGCTGGCTTTCATGCTCCCACCTCTGCTCTGCTCCAGGCACACTGGCCTCCTATGTCCTTGCTTGGGCCTGTCCCAGGGCCTTTGCACTTGCTATTCTCTTTGTTTAAAACACTCTTCTCCAGGATCTGCAAGGGTCTGGATCCATCCCAGCCTTTGGGTCTGGTCATATTTCTCCTCCTCAGAGAAGCTCTCCCAACCACCCATCTAAAGCTCTCTCCAGCCCCTCTCCCTCACATACTTATTTCATTCATTGTACTTTTCACAGCCTGTGCCTCTCTTGTTTGTTTATGTCTGTCTCTCCTCAAAGTGGAACATAAGCTCTGTGACACCAAGACTTTATGTTGTCCATTACAGTATCCCTGGCATGCAGAACAAATGCTGGCATGTAGTGGGTGCTCAAGTCACCAAATAAATGAATGAAACCTCTATGGGCCTTTGGGATCCAGTGTCTGCCCTTTGGCTGAGTCACCACTAGATGAGGATCTTTCATTTAGTGGTCAGAGCTATGATGTTCTGTGAGTGCGTGCATGCATGCATGCATGCGTGCATGTGTGTGTGTGTGTGTAGGGATGTCTAAGTCAAGGCTGCCTCTTTAGATAACTGCACCCCACTCCCACTCTCTTCTGAGGGTTGGGGTTGAGGAAGGTAGGCAGCCAGACTCCCTGGTTTGTTGACCTTGGGCAAGCCGGCTTTAGTATCTTCATTTATAAAATGGTGATAAAAATAATAGTGCCAAAAATAAGTGATGGTGTCTATTTCATGGGATCATTTCGCAGGCTTTTGCTGCCGACAGATGGTGTGGCTTGGATGTGCCCGGTCCACAGACAGTCCTCCTAAAAATGCCTGTGATGAGGATGCCACACCCTCAGCATCACACATAGGAAAGAGAAGAGCCCTTTAGGTCGGACCTAAAGGTAGGGCTGGCTGTTGTCCATGTGCCTCCCTCCCTCTCCGAAGTCCACAATTCCTGCAGCAAGTCGTCTTCCCACGTCTCCCTGGAGACTGGATCTCTCAAGACCTGTCGACACCCACCCTACGCTCAGCTGCACCACTCCGTCACCTCACGCAGTGTGTCAGGATGCTCACACCTTGGGTGCTCTACTGCTGCTGTTCTCACTGCTGCTGATGCCTGGAGTCCCTTTGCCTGCACACACCCTTTTCCATCCAAGAAAATCCTTCAAGATCCAAACAGCCCAGCTGCCCCAGGGGGTCCCGGCCTACCCAGGTCTCTCCCCTGTGCTGCACCCTGCACCCTCCGTGCTCCCCTTCACAGCAGCCTCTGTCTGCAGGTGCCACTTGGTCACATGGCTGGTGCTCTCAGGGCTAAGGGACAGGACCTGCCCCCTTCAACTTGGTCTCTCCACAGAAGGGCCTGGCACAGGTGCTGTCACTCACCCAGATGCTGGTTCTCTGGAAACCTGAAGGAAGGCTTCGCACTCTGCCTCAGCCACCCCCCTGCCCCTCTCCTCTTTCTCATCTTTCCCTTTCTGTGTATCTCTGTCTTCCGTCTCTTCCTTTGTCCATCTCAGCTCTCCAAACCTTCTTCCTTTCTCTCCCTTTCCTCTCCTTTTCTTGCTTTGTCTTCTAACCCTTTGCAATGCATGGGGGAGAATTCTCTCCTGACATTCGTCCTATTTCTGATGGCCTGCACAGTCCGCAGGCCTGATGGAGCTGATCTTGAGCAGTGCCCTACGGCTGTGGACTCTCATTTCCGGGGACATCCCACAGCTGTGGTAGGATCAGGCCTGTCGTGATCTGGAAGAAGCAGCCCCAGGCCAAGAAATGCCATCTCTGGAAGCCATTTTTTCCCAAGCCAGCCTGAATTCAGATCCTGCATCTTCAATTTGCTAGAGGAGAAACTGAGGCATGAAGAAAGGAAGTGACAGCTTCAGGACATTCCTTCTCATTCCAGGAAACACACTACCAGAGATGACACAAAGCAGGATGGTCTATGTTCCCTCCTCTGGCCTCTAACTGCCTGCACCCAGGCCTCTGTCCTGGTCTTTAAATTCCCTCCTAGGGTCTGTTGTTCGGGTCTCAGAGCATTTACCACCTGAGCATGGAGACTCTGCAGCTCCCAGCCCAGCCTAGATGTCCCTCTTGAGCTCTAGACTCCACCATGCTTGTGCCCATGTGACCTCCCCTTTGGGTGTCTGGTAAGCATCTCACACGGCACATGGCTCACCCCACACTCTTGCTGTGTCATGGTTCTACCCCATCTTCACAAGCTCCGCAGAGGATGCCATTCTCTGTGGCTGCCCAGGCTGAGAACCTCGGGTTCAGTGTCTCTTCCCTTCATGCTCCACATCTGGTCCATCAATATGCTTCCCAAACACCCCCGGCATCTGGCGTCCTCTCCACCCTATGGCAACTTCTCCCTGGTGCTACCAAAACAACCCACTAATGGCTTCCCCTTTCTCCCCCCTTAGTCCCCAGCTCCTCTACACCGTGGCAGGAGTGACCTTTCTGGGGCAGAACTGGAGCACATCCCTCCTTGCTTCAGATGCTCCGATGGCTCCCCCACAAATGAAATAGAAGGCAGGCTCCTCAGCCAGGTGCCCAGTCCTGTGGGACTCATTCCTGGTCTGACACCCAATGTCCACTCCCCGCTGCCACCCACCCACCTCCTCTGCTCCTACTATCCTGGCTAAACACCACCTCCGTGGAGAGGCCTTCCCTGGCCACCTAAAGTGGCCATCCTTCCTTCCCGCTGCTGTCGTCACTCTTTAGCTTGTTGCCTTGTTTTGGATGCTTCATAACAATTGTCACTGTCTGTGCACGTACCTTTATTCTGAATGTTTCATGGTCTCCCTCCCTGAGCGCGAGCGCCTTCCCGGTGGGGAGTCTGCCTTTTCATTACACATCTTCAGCTCGGGACCGGACCGCAGTAAATCCCCATCGGTATTCACTACCGCCTCACTGGCCTCGCTGGCGGGACCTACATGACCCGTGGGGCCGTGAAGGGGGCCCCATCCCAGGAAACAGGAAGCCAGGTTCCCGCTCCAGACCTTCCACGTGCACACAGGCTCTTGGGAAAGTTGTCTCTCCCGGAGCTTGTTTCCTCAGCTTTCGAATGGGGATAAAGAAGCCTGCCTCGACTAATTTATGAGTTTTTTCATTCATTCACTCATCAAATAAACAGCAATTGAGTTCTTAACTTGTGTCTGGCCTTTGGCTAGGAACTGGCGGTATTGATCTGAGCAAGCAGGTCACACATCGCATGCTCCGGGGGTATGCTTCTCTGTGGGCTCTGTGCGAACGAGTGCCCCAAACAACACGGGCTTGTTCCCTGCTCTCCTGCTTCTAGTTAGCGAGAGCTGATGCCTAAATAAGCAAGATAGTTTCAGGTGCAGACCTATGCTAGAAGAGAAAAACGGCGGCGTGTCAGCGAGTGGAGATGTTGTGAGGAATAAATTCAGTGGTAAAGAAGAGAGATCTTTGCAAACTACAAATTCCAGTGGTTACCAGGTCCACCTCCCCCCTTTGGCAGCGGAGAAGTCAGAGGCTCAGAGATGGAGGTGACAGAGGCACTTTTGCCTGGAACCGGGTCTCTGCCTCAAGGGCTTGGTTCTCCTCTGCATAACTTATGTCTGGTATGTGGGTGGGAGGGTGTGTCACCCCTGGCTGATCTTAAGGTCCTTTGCAAATGCCAAGTACTTATGTAAGTCCATTCCAAGGAGGGTTAACCACCTCCACTGTTGCCGGAGGGCAGCCTTCCCTGCCCACAAACTGGCCCCAGGGCTCAGGTTACAGCTCCTTCTCAGCACTCATCTCCCAGTGACATTTAGAGACACTGACAAACCAAGCTGTTTTTCTCCTTCCCCTTCTCTGCTCACCAACTACCTCCAGGAGCAGCCGCTGGTTGCTAAGCAACCTAGGACCCGCTTGGGTGCAGGGTTTCGGAGCTCTGCGGCTGGGGAGGTGGTTAACCCCTGCAGCGCGGCTCTTTGAGCTGCAGTGTAAGGGGGAGGCTTTTATTCTATAAAGGGTTAATGACATTAGCTTGAGGGGATGCAAATGCAGAGGAGAGGCCTCAAAGAAATCTCTCAATAAAGCACTAATAAAGAAAATAGTGCTTTTCCGCAAAGTAAAGGAGAAAGACAACTTTGATGAAAAAAGAAACTACAACTTCTAAAAGGAAGAGCGCTAAATAAGCACCTGCTGTGGGCCAGCCCCTCACCCTGGTTATTTCATTCAGTCCTTCCAGCGCCTTATGAAGTGCAGATGATTCTCTGCATTTTACAGCTGGGGAGACGAAGGCCCAGGGTGATTCTGCAATTATTCAACTAGAAGGAGTGAAGCTGTAATTTGAACCTGGCTCTGCCTGACCCCAAAGTACGTGCCCTCTCTGGGCTCTGGGCTCTTCAGCAGAGATGTGGAGCTAGCACAGAAAGATCTAGGACATTCCAGAGAAGCACTCCCTCCACTGCCCGTCTTTGTACCCTAAGCTGGGGCTGAGCATTCTAATGAGTTGCTGCAGACATTAGAACTTGTATTTGTACCTCTTAAACCCTTTCACCTAAAGCTCCTATGATACTATGTCAACTATACTTCAATAAAAAATTTTAAGAAAAGACTTGCATTTGTATAAGCCCTCTAGTTAGGTGCATCTCCGTGACCCTGGAGACTGCCCCCTGCAGGCGGGGCAGGTGGTGTGAGACAGGAGCACCACTCTGGAGGCAGATCACGTGGTCCAAATCCTAGCTTTTCTTTCTCTGGCTGTGTGTCCTGGCCACCTCATTTAACCTCTCTGAGCTTCAGGGTCCCTGGTAATGGGGAGAGTTATGCCCATTCCAAAGGTTTATCCTGCAGGTACAAGGTGTTCTGTGTAAATCACATGTCACAGGTGCTCATACACTGCAGCTGCTGATTTTGACCCCTTTTCAGGAAGAAGAAACTGAAGCCCAGGAAACTCGGGCCAGGCAGCACGCTCCAGGACACTGGAAAGCCAAGACACGCGTGTTTCAATCTTGCCGTTTCTTGGATCAAACCCTTCTGTGCTTGGGGCCTCAGTCACTCTATGGGGGCATCAGATCAGAGAGCTCCTTGAGTATTTTCTCAAAAAGTGATGCCTCTTCAGCTATTTTAAAGTAACATTGATATGACAGATGTTAAAATGAATACAAAAGAGGTGAGAAGAAATCATGTGACAGCGAGACCATGAGCCAGGCTGAGAAAAGGGTCAGGGGCACCTGTTTTGTGCTCCCCCTCCCTCACCAACCAACAGCCCAGACTGCCCCACCTCGGACAGGCGGTCAGAAACTCCCTCCCTGCCTCTGGGGGGCATCATCTGCTGAAGTAAAGAACACTTTGCGGGCAATCTCCTCTGGTCCCCCCTCCCCGGCCCCTCCACTAGGCCCTGATCCCTTCCTACTCCTGGATGCGGCCTTGGGGCCTCACAGAAGAGACTGCTTTAGGCCTGAGGATGGCCATGGCCAGAGAGCTCCAGCACAGGAAGTCTCCTGGAGCACATTGAAAGAAAGGGGGTTCTCTTCCCATGGACAGTGTGCCCGGGGTCAGGGGGCTGTGGAGGCCAAGCGGCGGACCCAGCTGAAGCTGTCCCCTCCTCAGGAGTCCAGGCCTCGAGCCGCCATGATTCAGGGCTCACCACTGGGACCAGGGACACCACACACTCTTAACTCCTGGTCGGCCTTCCCTGGGTGGGGTTGCTGGGAAGGCCTGGGATCTGAGTGCTGAACACCTGCTGTAAGAGGGGGAGATGAGGGGAAGAGAGGGAGGTTCCCTGACCTCAGGGACGAGACCAATGAGGCCAAAGACACACTCACAGCTGTAAATAAATACACCTGGTGAGGAAAGCGGTTCATGAAATCCATAGGCCAGGTAGGAGGTGAGTCGCTCACCCTAAGGGGCATTCAAACCACCAGTTACCCTGAAATGAACAGCATTCACGAGAAGACTATGGTCCAGTGCCTTCAACGGAGCTCGCTCTCTGGACCGACACTGCCGTATTCACAGCCCCGCCCCGGCAGCCCCAGAGCTCCCGGAGATGGGGGCCATGCCCCACGGGCTGGATGCTCAGGGCCTGCACCCCCTTGTCCTTTGCACGGCCTTGGTGACATGTGATTTCCCTTCCCTGGCCCCTCCTACTTTTGTGTCCCCACAGAACCTATCACAGCCCTTGGCATGCAGTCACCTCGAATATTTCTTCAGCTGAAAGCAGCCGAGCTGCTTTGTTAACACATGACAGACAGAAGGAGGAATGTTCTCAACAGCAACAGTTGCCAGGCAAAGCTGCAAAATTCAGTGTAATCCAAGTTGACAGCGACTGAGTAAGCATGCCCCATACACAAGGCACAGGCTCCGTGGTCCCCGAGGCTGCTGGTGACAGGGTGCAGGCGGGAAAGGCCAGCAACACATAGCAAGCCCTCTCAGAAGCTCTGATTCTGAGGGTGGCCGCTTTCCATCTCAAAGTGCTTGGGAATAATCTCTTTTCCTAAAGATCCTGGGTCCACCGGAGGGCAAACATTAAGGAAAGGTCAAGGTGCAGACATTTCCCTACAGAGACAGCTACTCACAGACCACAGTCCCGTTGACAACGTGGAACTGATAGCTGTTCAGCACCGTCTGGCAGCCTAGCTGCTTCAGCTTCTCATAGCAGCCGTCGTGGGCCAGGCAGCACCTGGGGGCCAGACCAGAGGAAGGTGAGGGCTGCTGCTGTGGGTGGGCCCCAGGGAATCAGCAGGGCACCTTACCTGGGACCGCATAGGACTCACTGACTCCTCCCCTGGGTGAGGAGGTGCTGCAGATAGGGAGGTAAGTCCATGATGATATGAAAAATAATAAAAAGCCCATGAACATTTAGCGAGCCCTTTCTAGTATCTCCTGCTCTCTCCTTAGCGCCTCACAGTAACCTTCTGAAGTACCATCATTGTCCCCATTTCTAGGGGAGGAAACAAGGTTCAGAGAGGTGAATTTCCCCAAATCATACAGCTGGAAAATGAAAGACTCAGTACTCAATTCCAGGTCCCTGGGACTCATTTGTGCACTTAGTGCCTTTTTACTGAGCACCTACTACATGCCAAGCACTGAGATCACCTCTGAGAAGACAATTGTTGGCAAAAACATACATAATCCCCTAAGTCCCTACTCTCAGGGCACTCAGAGTTGGCAAGGGGCAGGAGGGAAGAAATTCCATGAGGGAAAACAGCTGCGGAACCGCCTATCTCCTCAAGCAGGGGATGCGAAGCAGGAAGGCAGACACCTGGGGCTCCGACGGAAGCCACGAAAGATAGCGTACTTCTGGCTGACGCCCTGGCCAGGTGCCTCAATCTCCCTCCCTTGGTATCCCCATCGGCAAGCGGGCTCTCTGCCCTTTGTCATCTTTGTTCATCGTGTTAAATGCTCATCTGTCTCTGGACCTGGAAGGGGAGGCACAGAGTATCACAGGGCCCAGCATTTGAAACAGGCACATCCTTGTTCAGATCCTGACCCTGCTGCTCAGGGGCTGCATATCTTCGGGCTCTGCCACTCTAGCTTTGTAGGGCCTCACCATTGTTGCCTGTAAAATGGGGGTGGTGACATTGCTTCAGCCATTTGCTGTTGGGGTTAAATTAGGCCCTGTGTGCAAATCACCCATCCTAGCGCTCAACACACAATGGGCATCTCATGGTACCAGTTCCCCTCCAGGGCTCTGGGGAATTCCAGCTGGAACATTCCAGGGGCCCACAAGCCCAACCCAGAGGAATCCAGTCCCAGGAGTCATATTTCAGGTCCCACTGTGGGGACATATTTATCCACACTAGGTTGAAAGTGGTGCAGAACACTTTGTTTCCATTTCTTCAAATGAAGTGAGAGACAAATTACCCTCTTTCTGCCTCCTGGACCCTCCCCAGATGACACTAACTTCCACTTTTTTTAGGAATCACACTCCCCCCAACCCCATCCTTAGGAGTAGGACTGGCAGCCAGGTTTGTGCCATGTGATCTCACCCAGATGGACAAGGTTTCCTAACGGGACCACTCGATTCTGTCTCGGAATATGGAAATGGTACTGGGAGACAGGCACTTGCTGTGCTATAATCCTAAACATGGGGGAAGAAGACCGTGGGAGACCACGTTTGCCATGAGGTCTCAGAATTGAAGATTTTTCTAGAGCTCTGGGCAGGGCTGACCACATAATTTTTGAGGCCTGTTGCAAAATGAAAATACGGGGCCCCTTGTTCAAATACAAGAATTTCAAGATGGTGACAGCAGAGCAGCAAATCGTGTACAGGCCCTTTGGTGCCAGCCCCGGGCAGCTGCACAGGCTGCTTGCTCAGGAAGCCAGCCTTGGTCTTGGCTTTCCTGGAGACCTTGCTCCTGCTCCCATTCAGTTATTTTCTTAGGCTCACTGGAATCGGTGTCTGTGACTTGCGATGCAAGAGTCCTCAGACCCTCACACTTAAGCACGATTGCAATGCGTATCAAAGGGAAGGGGACCTTGGGGCCTCTGCGCTCACCTGTCAGTGTCATCCACAGGGGTCCCTCTCCCGCCAAGCCCACAGAAGCAGCCATATCCATAAAACGAGAAGAAGGCACTCTGCCCTGTGATGTGTTTGACCATCCTTTGAAACTACCAGAAGCTGCTGTGGGTGGGCACCATCACTGCCAGTGGTAAACAAGGGAGAAGGAACAATGCAGTGAGAACAGCACCACCTTGGCGTCCCCTAACTAGAGGGCTTCTCATCCAGGAAGACGTCAGGAGGTCCCCAAACATGGTGCCTGAGCACAGCTGGGATCACCAGCCCCTTTACTAGGAAAGAAGATAGGATCAGATCCCAGTTTCCATGTCATTCAGGACAATATTCTACCATCAACTACAGTCATCCCCCAAAGTAAAAAAGCACCATTCTAGGGAGAAATAACTTTGGGTCTGATGGCACATTAACAGTTCGAAGTCAGAATGGCCTGTCTCTACACATATCATCAGGCATTTACAACCTCACAGGAGAATCGAAACACTTAAGAGGCAGAAGACATGCACTCAGCTCAGCCCATTTCTTTAAATGGCAAATACACATGGACCCAATTTTTACTTCTCCAAAATGCTTACAAAAGTGGGAGAAAAATATATATACAGAGATGATTGCTACAGTGTTATTTATGATATCAAAAAAACTGGAAACTGCCCACATATTCACTGACAGGGGGATAATAACTAAATGATATGTTGAAAACATATACTTTTAATAGCAATATCTCTAGCCAAGGGGGTTGAGGAAGTAGGTGGAGGAAAAACAGACATTTATTTTATATGCTTTTATATTGTTTGATTTTTTTTTTTTTACAATGAGCATGTATTACTTTTCTGTTAAAATGTTTGAAATATATATGTGTAAAAGCCTTAGGAGGGTGTATATCCAACTCTTAAGAGTGGGCATATCTGAGTGTAGGAAAAGGGGTAGGGTCTGGAAAGGATGAGAGAGGACTTTATCTTGTTACTCTTTATTCACTTATTTTATTTTTAATTACAAGCATGTATTCATTTTGCAATAAAAATAAAATAAGAACAGGAACTTAAAGAACAGAGACAGAGGGTTTGGGGAACATTTCCCAGGAGTCTTCCTATCTCATCCTGTGGGTTTGGACACCTTGTCATAAAGCACCACAGAGGGGGCCAAAGCCCAGGGGCTGTCACTGCAGCCCCTGCAGAGAGGGTGGGACCACACTCGGGCACTGAGCTTCAGGGAGCACTGTGGGGGCCCTTCCTGTCTATGGGTGCCCCCTTACCATGATCTTGCATCCCTATGCAAAAATGGGAACCCAGTTCTTGACATTTTGACTTAGGAACCCAAAAGTTACTGCTACACAGCCGAAACAGAGAAATGGATTTGGACAAGTCTCTAATCAACTAATCAAAACAGAAGAGAAGAATTTTCCAACAGACCCAACACTGTTTCCTAGAAAATTCTTTTTCACTTTGCAGAGGTGTCTGATCTGATCTCCTGGTAGCAATGACTTATAATTACAATTATTCCATAAGTCACCAAAAGAATGCCTTTCTGATAAGAACTAATCTTTCCTAAATTAGCTCGACATACATGTGCATTTTTGTTCTGGAATCCACATGACTTTAAAAAAGACAACTAGAATCCGAAGGGAAAAAAGGTTCCTGAAGGGGGTGTGCGTGGTAAAACAGTAGTCAAATGCCCTCTTTCTTAGCAAAAGGTTAGCAACCTTTGATTTCCCACTAGTTCTGTGAGATTTCCAATGCTGGAATCAGTCCATTTTGCAGAAGAAATAGAAGTAGGAGGACTTTGGTGGGAGCCTGTTCCACTCCTGATTCCCTTTAGAGTGACTCTGGTTTTCCCCTCACCCAATGCCACCTCCGGAGGGGGCACCCCAAAGACAGACACCGACAGGACGCCACCTGGAACTTTCCCCACTGCCTACTACTTAGAGTAGGAGGCAAGGACCACGAGAACTCCCACGGCTTTCATTCCCGAGGAGACCAGGGGGTCCAGGGTGCTAAGCTTGCACCCTCCTCTGCTCATGAGGGGTCTGCTGGCTGAACTCCTTTCGGGGAGGAAATGAACAAAATGAGGTGTACAAACCCCAGTGATGGTGCAGGCCTTCTAAAGCCTTCAGTGGAGAGTTCTTGGCAAAGTGATCTCTTTCAAACCTAATTATCTCTCAATATGATACCCCTTTCTGATATTTAGACCTAAATATAAAGATAAGAAGGGTTCAGCTGTTTGAAAGTACAAGTGGGTTTTTTTTTGTTTTGTTCTTTTTTTAATTTTATCTCTTTGGCAACACCATCCCTTCATCTTTTTTTCTCTTTTGAGGAGTATTTCCTCTCTTCCCAAGTTTAAAGGCAGATACCTGGTTCATGATGGAAATCCGGGGCTGGAAAGTCGAGCCCATTTGCCTGCTAGCCCCCAGTTTGCCTACCTTGATACCTACCCAGATATTTTCTGCATAAATGTAGCCCCTCTGAAGCTTGGCTTCCTCTCCTATAAAGGGAGACTAAAATACCTGTCAGTATCTCAAACATTTACTAAGACATTACTAAATGCCAGGGGCTGTTTTCTTTAAGGACGTCATGGGTGTGACATTTAATCCTCACAGTAACTTGAGAGGCTCTGTTACTATTTTCAAGGTGGAGAAACTGAGGCCCAGAGAGTTGGAACAGCTTCCACGCACTCACATAGTCCCTACATTACAGACTTGTGGGGACCAGCCGAATAATGAAAATAAACAGCTTTGTAATGTAAAATGCTATAACACATAAACACACCCTGCCTATTACTATAAGCAATGTAATGCTGACCATATCCAGTCCACCTTCCACAGGACAGCAGAGAATGTGGGTCCAGAGTCGTGATGTGGAGCCCCCAGGGCTGAGCAGTCAATAGCGCTCTTTAAATAAGAGTGGTCTTTATGAGACAAAACAGCAGCAGACTCACAGATTCAAAGAAGGGACTAGCGGTTATCAAAGGGAAGGGGGTGGGGAGGGAGCGAGAAGGGGATTAAGGGGCATTATGATTAGCACACATAATGCACGGGGGTCACCAGGAAGGCAGTGTAGCACAGAGAAGACAATGACTCTATAATATCTTACTACACTGGACTGTGATTGCAATGGGGTTGTGGGGACTTGCTAATTTGGGTGAATACTGAAACCATAATGCTGCTCATGTGAAACTCTAAGTCCAGGGAAAGGAAATCCTGAGGCAAAATACCTCTAAAAACCAGTCAAAGGGAGAAATAAAGTTTAAAATCATTTATTGCTTATAAATTGCAGTCCAGGGCCTTCTTTCTTTTCTGCTCCAGCAGAAGCAAAACCAGCTCTTCCCCTCACCTCTCAGGTACAGATAAGCCCTCTGTTGCCCGTGTAGTTACCCACTGATATGGAGATGAACTTCTCTCCACCCCTGAGGAATGATGCAAATGCACTCAAGCCATACTTCTCTCTACCTCTGAACGCCTATTGATGTGCAGATGTACTAACGCCAGGCGAGATATTCTGGAAATATTACAATTTTACCCACAGAAACCTACATAAGATTGTATATCAATGATACCTTAATTTAAAAAAATAGAGAAAAAAAGTGGTCTTTGTGCACTGCACCATAAATCAGGCTAAATCTGGGAATGTCTGGACCTGGAGCCTGAACAATGGCTCAGTAGAGCCTGGAGGACTTGGTGGGGGCAGAGCTTCGGCTAGATTTACACTCTGTGGCAAAATTTCCCAGGAAAACTTCAAAATGAGCATCCTGTTGCAGAGCCCCAAGAGAGCTCAGCGGGTGCCCCTGCTGTTTTCCCTCTGGCAAGGCTCTGGTGGATGCCGGGAGGCTGGGCCCTGACTAGGCCTGGACACAGCCAGCCTTCATTCCAAATGCTGCGTGGGATGTTCTCAAATTAGGTTCCGTCTCTGCAGGCTGGTTTCCTTTGTCTCTTTTGAGTCTGAAACAATAACCATGTGACGTTTTGGTCCACAAAGAAGGGACTCATATGGTCTCTGTTTACCCATTTGTAATGAGCATTTGGGCTGCAGGGGGTCAGAGTGGTCTCAGGTATGCACTGGAGATGAGCCGCCAAACACAGGCCCAGGGCTCCCTCCCCGAGGATGCAGAGAGGGCTCCTGCGATGTCCGGGCCCTGAGACGAGCAGGTGACGATGTTTAGAGATAGAAAGTCAAGGACCTGGGTGCACAGCCAGTAATGAAACTGCAGACTCATATTAGGCACCAACTATGTGCACCTCCTAATGAGGCTAGAGTCAGGCCTATAGAGGGCTTCCAAGTTGGCTAGAGAGACAAAATGGGTAAACAGAGACCATTTGAAGACCAAAAACCGGGCAGACCAAATGTGGGCAGAAATTCTACGTGTAGTTCTTCATTGTTTCCTGAATATTTAGTATTGTTTCAGTTAGGTACCCCCTTCAGAGATGGATTGTCAGCGCTCCTGACATTCTCACTCTTGGGAATGGCTTCTGCTGCGGAACTGTCTGGGCAAAGATCATGATCCCTCCTAGGGACTTCTCCCTCTGTGTGTCAGCTTCTCCCTCCGTCTGTCAGCTTCTCCCCCTGTGTGTCAGCTGCTTCCTCTCCCCAATCTTGCCTAGTTCATTTCCCAACAGATGAATCTCCTGGGATCCTCCCAGCAATGCACTTCCCTATCTCAGAGTCTGTGTCCAAGGATGCCAATCTAAGCCTGTGAAGAGTGAGAAGCATTGTTCCAGCGGATGGGTAAACAAAGGCCTTTGAGCTCAGCAGCAGCAGCAGTGAACACATCTTCAAAAGAAGGCAGCATCTGAAGGGGCCTTAAGTTGCCCTGAGCTTGTATTCTGCTCCTATCACTTCCTCACTATCACGCTCCCATTTAGCATCAAGGAAGCCAAGGCTCAGAGAGGAGTGACCTGAAGAAGACCAGGTGGCAGGGTCCAGACTTGAACTGGGGTCCTAACTCCAAGTCCTGCACTCTTGCCACCTCACCAGGCTCCCTGCCCTGCCCACACCTCTTGTCTGTGCAGTGTTTTGAAGGCTACAGAGAATTTCAGATGCTGACCTTCACGTCTCTGACTTAGTAAGATGGGCATGGTTCTGTCCTTTGACTAAAT